GATACTGGGCCAGACTCCTCCCTGGTTTGATCCAGTATGCCTGTTCTTATGATTCTTTAAAGACAGATGCTTTACAGATGGATACACTATAACTGTATTATTTTTTCTGCATTTCCCAATGCACTGTCCAGCTGATCTCTTTCCAAACATCCATTAACTGATGAGATGAGTGAGACCTGTTCAAACCACACTGAGCCTAAGCAGATACGAGCTAAAAGAACCAGACTGGAGCAGAAGGAAGGATGCCCACTCCTACTATCTCTACAGAGCTTTCCCAGACCAAAGTTTCCCATTTCCTGTTTCCTACCCCAACCTGAGGACCTATGGTCTCAGCTCACAGGTTCCCACATGTATAGATACTGCCTGGAAGTCCTAATGGTTCCCTTACCAGCCCTGCCAGTCTGAAAGAGGCAGAGGAGACACTAGGGAGGAATCTGCCCTTGAGTTCTGGGTTCAACAAAAGTACCCAGGCTTGGTGAGCATCTCCCAAGGCATACAGACCCATGCAGATCCTTACTGGGGCTAACTGGACATAACAGGGCTGCAGTGCATGGCTGGGGGGTTAGAGACTGCAGGACACTTAAAAGAAGCATGAGGCAGATGGCTGGATGGCAATGTCAGAGGAGAGGACAGCGTCCTGTAAGACCAAGAGGAGGCCTCAGGGCAAAGGTGGCCTTGCACCCCAGTAGAGTCAAAAGGACCCTGCAGTGACATCCTGCACAGAAAGTAACTGCCATGTAGCATCTTGTGCCACAGCATCCCTCAGCTGAACATCACTTTGATCCCAAACAGCTCCTGTTTTGTGAAGGGCATGAGCCAGGCAGCACTCCCCAGATGAAACACCTTAGGTCCTTCCCCCACACAAGGCTGCTTCCTTCTCCTCTTCCCTCCCAGTCTGTGTTGCCTCAGTCAGCACAGGTCCCTCTCTGAAAACTTTGTAACTGGCCTTTCTAGAGCTACTCCCTCTGCTCCTTCCCCCTCCAAAAGACATTTGTGGAACGGGCTGCAGACAACCTGCAAAAGCAGGAAGGAAGGGACTAGAAGAGAGAAGCAAAATGATTCATGCTGTACTGCAGCAAATATGCCAGCAAAGGCTTCTTCAAATGCACTTGAAGCAGGTCCCAGAAGACAGTAACCGCTTCAGAATGAGAATAAGGAAAGGGTGGAGATGGCAGTGGCAGGACATCCTCCGGCACAAAGCGGTTGGACGAAGGGCACAGAGGGAAGCTATGTTTCCTGCAAAGCACTGGTGTGCAGATGACAAAGCAAAGGCTGTAGGAAAAGGGAGCCTGCTTTGTCTGTAGAAGGGTGGGTGTGGAAGGACAAGGCAGATGTGGGGACCATGAGTCCTTTCTTTGCAAACCTCCCTGCTCTCAAAGGAAGGTTCTGTGCCACCACTGAGGGGAAGAGAAGAGACCTGATTCTCCCCAGCACACTGACTGAGCTGAAACCCAGCTTTTGGTGCTTGATGGACTTCAGCAGAAGGGCACGGCTGGATGGCAGTGAGTTGGCATTAATAGAGTAGAAGTGACTGGGAAAAACATTTTCTCCTTGCTCAGTCCTTCATCCTATTCAAAAAGCATCTGTGTCACTCTGCCCCCAGGCCAGTCACAGCTAATTGGAGTTCCTGATGGCTTTCCTGACCTTTTGGAAGCAATTGTTAAAAGCTCTTGTGGAAAGCCAGTGCAGCAGTGCAGCGTCGGTGGCCTAGCATTCATGGCTGGAATGCATGGCTGCATTCCAGCAGATGATCTGATTGCCAGTTTACCTGTGGCAGATTGATTTTTAGAGGGTACTTAAGCTATGGCACATACAGGATGATGGGAAGGACTCCTGAGCACCAGCCGGGAGACAGAGCTGCCCTCAGGCAGAGCCAAAACCTGGCTGTGGAAACAGCGCAGCCCCTCCATGCATTGCATGAAGCTCACTGGGCAAAGCTCTCTTGCAGCAGGAGGTCAGGCTGTGTGCGCTACCCAGGGGCGGTCCAGCCCCTACTTATGATGGCCTCAAAGGAGACACAGACATCTTCGGGTGTCTGTGTCCTGGCTGCTGGGGAGCCCCCCTCGACCTGAGCTCCATGGGTCAGCTCAGCTGGCTCTGCCACCCCACTCATCATTGGTGTGAAGCAAGAGCAAGGCTGTTGTTGGGACAGCCAGCCCGCAGGATGTCTGAATCAACCCCACACCTGTGGTGCCAGGGAAGGGGGGCTGAGTCTGGTGCTGAGTCAGTGCTCTTATGGTGCCCGTTCCCATCCCATCGCCCCAGCACAGTAAGCTCCCTGCTTATCACCAGGGAATGGGCCTCTTTCAGCACTGCATCCCCTCCACCCTGGCTGCAGGAGTCTCACCCAGCCAGAGCACACACGCCAAGTCAGTTTCTACAGCGGGGCTTGCTAAACATGTATTTAAACACCAGAGAAGCATTGTAATTCATTATCAACAAGCCAAGTCAAGAGCGTTAATGTATGCTCCTTCCCACCCACTACATACACATCAGTCACCTATGCTAAAAGGCTTTATGAAATTATATACAATGAATGTGGTCATGTAGTAAATTCCCAGTTTATGTCATTTAACCCTCGGATTAGGCTGAAAGGTAAATTATACTAAAACTTCTATATACGTAAAAAAATTAGAAATCACACTTCCCTATCCGGGAAGAAAGCCACTCACACAGCCAACTTATGCTGCTACCTGGCATGCCTAACCTTCTTCAGCTGAACCTGTTCTGACCTGGGAATAAAAGATTTCTGCTCTTTTGATTCACACCAAAGCCCAGAGAGACCTAAAGAGGAGTTGCATAGAAACTAGTGACCCTTGGCTGATACCTCCCAGCAGCAGTACAGTGATCCAAGAATCGGAGCAACTTCACTGAAGAGTTTGCAAGTGCAGGAGGAATTCCTTTGGAGCTTGGTTATGCCCCAGCAGAGATCACATCTGCACTGAAGCTCAGCCTACCCAGAAACAGAGGGAGCCCTCGTGTCAGTGCAGCAGCTCCCTGGCCTTTGTGCTGTTACCTCTACACCGGGCCGGCTAGCGGGGGACATTGGCAAGCGGCTGACTGGCTAACACACCCCTGATCCCGCTGCCACATGCAGGGACTCACCGCACCTCCTCACGCTCAGAAAAGCTGATGCTAAGTGTGCACTATGGCAGCGTATCGCAGGGTTATCAAGGGGCTGAGGCTCTGCAATGGGCTTTTAAGGAAGTTTAAACAAAAGGGTGCCAAAGGAGGTATCCATTTAGCTTCAGATATAACGGGATTTGTCTGCAATGGGAAGCTGGGCAGAATAAGGCCAGCCAGCCCTTTGGGGGTATGATTAACGCCCTCACCATAATGCAGGCGGTGCGAGGGGCCGGAGCTGTGGTTCCAGGCCACCATGCCCAGGTGAGGGTCACTGCCCCACAGGGGGGTCAGAAACACGAAAGCCCTCCGAGACCTGCTGCCCGCTGCAGCCCGCAGCCAGGCTCCCCTCCGGAGTCCCCGAGGGGGCAGAACGCTCGTTAGCCCGGCCAACCGGTTAACAACCAGAGCTGCAAGCGGCCGGGGGTGGCGGTGTGCAACGGGTGTCCCAGGGGAGGGGGACAGCCATGCCGGGGGTGAAACACGGGGGCCCCTCCTCTCCCCTCGGGGTTTCGGCCGCCCATGGCCGCGGGGTACGAGCAGCCCGGCCCCCCCCCCGGCCCCCCCGGTTCTCACCCGCCGCTGCTGCCGCCGGTCGCTGCGGACGCGGCCGTTGCCGGGGCGGGGCGGTGGCGCTGGGCCGTGCGGGGGGGCCGGGCTCTGCGCTCGCTATCGGGTGCGTTTGGAGCGTCCCCAGCCTGTGCCCCGTGGGAGCACACATCACACCGCGGACAGCGCCCACGGCAGTCCCGCCGGCCCACAGGGGCTGGGAAATCTGGGAAGCTTCGCTGAGTGCCATACAAACCGGAGCTGGTGAGCATCGTGACGAGACGTTACAAATGCGATCCAAGATTAGCCGGAAGGCTGAGCAACAAAATAACGCATGCGAAGAGGCACAGATTAAACAGAAGGATCAAGTGTTTGAGGCTTCCTTTGTGAGGGTCGGAGATCGGGAGTTAGGCTTTGGCAGCAATGTGCCTCTTCTCTAGGTGTGGCCTGATTCTGTCACTCAGCTCCGGAGAGGACGGTGACACCGCCTGTGAGCCAAGCCGGTGTTTAACACAGCGGGGGTGTCAGCAGCCTTGCAAAGCCTGCCACAAACACTGGCCTCGCACTGACCGCATTATTCCCGGGAACATATCTTCAGGGCTTTTGAGATCTTGAAAAGCAGAAGTGAGAGCAATATAAAGCTAGAAATACTTTCTCTTGCACCGATTTCCATGCACATATTCAGTTCGACTTGAGAGAACCAAACTGCACCCACAGAAATAGCCCTGCTTAGTTGCCTCCACAATTTTGAGCTGAGCCTTCAACGAGCTATCACCACCGAGGTCTTTAGCCTACCTCACACCTAATGTAATACAAATGTCATGTTTTGAAGACTTCACAGTCCAGTGGAGTCCAGCGGTGTCTGCCCAGAGTCATTGATTCCCAGAGACAACGTTGCCCAAGTATTGCAGTCGGTTGTTGAACCGGATGCAATCATACACTGAAAACAAGTAATGTCGGCTGATAAAAATAGCTTTATCTACCTTAGCATTTACTTCCACGAGTGTAGACATTAGCATGTGTTTCCATGGGGTGTGCAGTTGCAGTTGTGCCTCAAATGCCATGGAGTAGCTGACTGCATGGAGGGTAAAACACCTATATCCAATCCCATACCCATTCCCATTCCCCCTCTTCACATCTGAGGGAGGGTCTGGCAGAAGGCACAGCTTCCTGCCCTTAGTAACTAGAGCATCATCCTACCAGCAAATCCCAGCTGCCCTCTATATCCCTCTAGCTGCCAGGTCTCAGATTTCCCCCAGACAGCGTGATGGTGGTGTGCGTTATCAGCTCTTCTGTCTTTGCCTGGAGTTTGAGGACAATGTAACAGCAGTTGAACTTGGTATCACGACAAATAAATAGGAGAGGATCCAGGTCCTTCAGTGTCTTCTGTGGGAGGAACATACCCCACATGGCATCTTCTGTGGCTAAGGTGAGGTTTCAAGTGCTGTTCTGGAGACAGAGCTACGGCTGTAGGGTGACAATGCATTTTAATGTCCTAGGCATGAAGGACTAGAAACGTGTTATCCTACCTGGCTTCTCCCACTTTAATATCTTAGTCTCTTTGAGGGTGTTTGTAAAGACTTGCTGGGAGAAGAGCCATGTGGGGGTGAAGGCAGCACCATGACATCCTGGGAAGGGAAGAGAAGGGAAAATCCTTGCTTTTTTTGGCTATGTCTTAAAGCTCACTCAGCTGGGTGTGATTTCTGGAGCTGTGGCATCAGAAGCTCAGGCTTTGTCAGAAAGCTCCAAACTGCTCCATCCACAAATGGTCTTTCATAGCATGTCCAGGGAGAGAGACTGTTGGCCTGTATGCAGTTTGTGTGCTTCAGGGACCTGCAGAAATTAAGGACCAAGTTGCCCATCCATGGCTGACCTGGGGAGCTCCCTCTTTTGACCCAAATATCCAGTCTTACATTTCCCTTCTCAGCTGTTGCCCTGGTTTCTTTCAGTAACAGGCTCCAGCAAGGAGCAGAGCTTGGCTTCTCTCAAAGAAGATGCTGGATGAGGCCCCTCTCAATCTAGGAATCTTCCACTTCAAGGTGAGCAGCTGAGAGAAGGGGATTCAAGGGGAACCCTCACTCCAGCAGCTCTGGGGGCAAGGAGCACAGCACCAACAGTGACTGTGCTGGTTGTTTCTGGGACAGGGACTATTGCCAGGCATTGCCCAGTGCCAGAGTAGGAGAGGACAGTGCCTGGGCACAGAAAGGTGCCTTTTTCTCCTCTGGCCTGCTTTGCCCAGCCACCAACACAGCCCACAGCCAAGCAGCTCTCCTCTAATCTGCTTCCTGGTTCCTCCCTGGTGGGGTGGCACCAGCACCAGCTGTCTCCTCAGGGACTGCACAAACACATCTGGAGAGGTTTTGCCCATGGCAGGCAGCGGCTTGTTTGCTCTCAGCAGCAGCTGGAGGTAGCAGGAAGGGAAGGGGATGGAAAACCACCCTCTTTGCACATGTCCCCTTGTTAGTACATCTCCTGCAGCCCACTTTGTCCTCAGATCATGCTGTGACAGCCAGAAGTCACTGTACCCGTTCAGGATGTCATTCTATTTAAGTTCTTTACACCATGTGAGGCAGCTTCTCTAGCTGATGCCTTCAGCGAGGCAGCCCCCATCTGTCAGATGCAGTTCATCTCTCTGAGGGGAAGAGCTGCGGGTACAGCTGAAGGTCAGGTTTGAGAGAAGGCAGTTGGTGTTTGATATCTGCCTGACACCAAAGGGATTCACTGGGGCAGCAGCCAGCAAGGTCTGTCCTTGGCACTGGGGGAGTCCTCTTGCACAGGTGGCTTCTACCCTTTTTCAGTGAGGAGCACAGAAAGTTACCCAAACTGGGAGTGGTCAGCTGATTGAGGATGCTAAGGAACAGGAACTGGCTCCAAAGCCCTGTGTCCAGGCTCTCCGCTGGCTGGCCCTCTGCAGCTCTTGCTGGGAAACTGCTTAAAAGCACCTAGTGTCTGCTGGAATCATGGGGGAAGCAACAAAAGAAACAGCATCCTGGAAGGAGGAAAAAGCCCCCTGCATGGCTGGCACTGGAGGATGGGGAGCAGGATGCTCTCTGTGCTGCCGCTCCTCCCAAAGCTGTCTGCTCTCCCTGGGTCCCCGCAGGAGCTGTGCAGCTGCTGACAGCTATTAATAGGTAGGGAGAACATGGGCTCTGTCTCCTACCGCTTCCTGGGATGAATGGTAATTACCCTTAATTGGACTGGATTTGGTTCCACCACCTACCTTCCAGCCCCCTTGCCTGCGCTGGCAGGGGGAGACCAGCCCATCTGCTGCCTGTGCCGGCTCTGTGGGGAGCAGGGATCAGCACTGGGAACAGAGTCCCATCTCCCCAGGACATCTCGCAGGCCTTGCCCGTGGATGGTGGGCATGGGGAGGAGCAGAGCTAGCAGCTGGCAGGCTGCAGGCATTTGGCTCACCCTGGTCTTTCCAATAGCACACAGGAGCCCTGCAGGGAGTGAGATAAACAATCCCACCAAAGCCTGATGGTGCAGATGGGTTGGATGCTCTCTCTTTGAGTTTAATTAAAGAAACAAGACAGAAGAAATAATGAGGGGCTCTGACCTGTCATTATGGTTGGCATCCCCACCGCCATGCATCACATGGTTCTGTGAAAAGGGCATCCTTTGCTGCCAGCGCAGGATACAGCAGGGCTTGTCCCCCATTTCCCACAGGGCACAGCCCAGCTTCAGTGGGGTTAGTCAGGATACAACCTGCCCAAGGGGGTGTTTTTTCCCTTATTATGCCACTACACCTCTGGCCTGAGCTCTGAAACAGGAAGTTTTCTTTCATCCAGGTTATCTTAGGCAGATGCAGGAATAGCGCAGGAGGTTTTCTTCATCCACTGAGGCTGCACCTCCCAGGAATCACATCCCAAGAAGATGGAGGCAGAACTGGATGCCATTAGAGCTTTCTTGTACATCTCAGACCCTGGCTCTGGAGCAGAACACCCTCTACCTGAGCTGCTCGGTAAGGCTGCACTTCACTAACCCCACCTCTGTGCCATCCTGCCCGTCTGAACAGCCACAGTGTCTCAACAAACCCTTGCTGCTCCTCCAGAACTTGGATTTATCCCTGCCTGGTTCAGCTCAGCAGCTGGTAACACTTTCCACTGTGGGAACCCCCTTCTTTCACTGACCCTTGCTGCTTGTGGCAGGGAGAGAGGGAAGGGGCAGTCGCACTGCCTCATCCTGCCAAGCTGAAGCTCCCCAGACAAGGCAGTTTCATTTACCTCTTCTTAGGTTTTAATTTCTTTTCCCACATTGTGTGTTTGCTCTTGACTGAATCACGAAAACCCTCTTGCAGGCGGGATCCGTGCCTAGGGACCTACTGGCTCCCGTTAGCAAACGCCTCCCTCCTTGCTGCTGGAGCCCTCTCTCTGAGATCCCTCCAACGTCAGGCCAGAAGATTCAGGTCCCTCTGCTGACTCCCACTCAGCCCAGCGTGTTGCATCCAAATGCCAGATGGCACACTAGGCTCAGGCAGGAGCGGTGCCAGGCTCCCCTCCCTTTCTCTCCACCCTTGGGTCCACAGAAAAGAGGCGGAGAACCAGCACAGCCAGGTTCCAGACTGCCGTGTTTGCTACAGCTTCCCTGGTCTTCAGCCCCACTCACTGTGGAATTGACACGGGAGGTGCTGGTTGAGCCCCAGCGTGCCAGGGAGGAGAGGACCTGCTCCAAGGCTGTGTCCCCTGTGCCCAGTTCCCTGTGCTAAGATTAACAAGCAATGCCCAGGACTGGAACACAGCCGCTGCTTCCTCTGTGCTCTCGCACCCCTGTTCCTTTCCTTCCTTGTTGGAAAATACCTTGTTTGGCCAGGGTTGCTCACCACCACTGGGTAACTGTCTGCAGAGTTCTGAAGGTTCAGCAAGCTTCTCTCAGCCCCTAACCCCCCCTTAATGAAATGAAGAGGAGGAGAGGAAAAGCAAAGCAACTGTCCTGCCTGAAAGCATGATTTCGAAGCTGTGGGCAGCAGAAACATCCTATTTTCAGTCTTTGGGCAGCAAAACAGACTCAGGGAGGATTTGCTCAGATTTTCCCAGCCTTTCTGCTTCAGATGGCTGCGTTAGCAGAATATCTGCTGCTTTTGGCTCAGAACTGGGTGGCCCCTAGAGCAACCCCCCCTTTTTGGTAGGGACTCAGACACTTTCTGCTGGCTCTTCTTGATACCCTGAGATGGGCATCTCCATTAACACTGCCTGAGCTCTAGGATCTCCACTTTCACTTCTGTGTCACAGTAACCCCCACAGATCCTACCCCTGGAGCATGTGTCCCCTCTCTGCCAGGCTGCTGCCACTCAGCTCCTTGGAGGGCAGAGGAAGACACCTCCCTGAGGTGTTCAGGAGGAGACATGCACAGAAACAGTGCTACCTGCAGCAGGTCGCACCATTGAGGATGTAATCAGTATAGAAATGCTGGCCACTGGATGCTTTTCCTTGCCCTTCTCCTCTGCTCCTTTATTCCTATGAAATGGGGTGCCGGCTGTGCCCAGTTCCCCTCAGATGTGCTGGTCATGTGCCTCCCTGCCCTGGCATGTGGCTGCTGGCTGCAGGGCTCTCTGGCATGGATGGCATCCCCTCGCTCCACAAACCTGGCAGTGGGTGCGGGAGCCAGGCTGGGGCACCATGTGGGAGAGCAGAGCTGGCTGCGTTCTCCCTCGGAGGAGGGAAAGCATCTAGTCAGTGACTTCTATTCCTGGCTGGGCTTGTTGCAGCCTTCACGACATTCAGAGCAGGTGTGAAGCTTTTCCCTTCCCAGGCTGGGGATGGGAGCTAGTGGGAGGTTGTTTTCCAGCACTTTCATGGAGATAGTCTGTTGGTTTTGCATGGTGTCTTTTTTCCCCACAGTGATCCGTGCTTTGACTTTTAGCTTGTGACTCTGCGTCATTCCATTCCCTGCCCCAATTTCCACCTCTCCCTGTTGTGCTGTTTTGATAAACCCAAGGTGCTCGGTGCTTGCAGTCAGGGGTAAGAGGTCTTGAGGGATGCAGTGGGGGATCAGATCCTACAGCACAGGCTGTGCACAGGGAGATTTTTCAAGAAGGCCAGGGCAGGCAGTGCAGCACCTTTCCCTCGTGGCCCCCAGAAAGCAGCTCAGAGGTTCAGGAGCTTTGTTAGATTTGAAATGAGGGCATTGTCCCTTCTTGCCTTTTTTACTCTCAAGCCCAGCTTGGCTGTGACACCTGTTGCAGAGGTACACCTGGTACTCCTTGCAGGGGCCACCCCTTCCCTTGAAGGCTGGGAATGCTCCTCAGGGCCTGGCCCACGGAAGAGAAAGCCCTGCGGGTAGGGGTGTGAGCTCTTCCAGCACCCCTGGGGCTGCTGGGCTGCATGGAAGTGGGGGTACCTGGGGAAGAAGGTGCTATTTCCACCTCTCAGTGTTCCCCAGCAGCAGCTCCATACATCCTGCATCAGCATTTCCAGAGCGTGGAATGGGTGGGCAGAAGGGGAGCCCCATCCACCGCGTCGCAGCAAGGGCAATGTCGGGGCGGACGCTGATGGAATAGGACAGCCCGGGCGCTTGCACGCCACGGGCTGCTGAGTTGCTGCTGTCCTTTGGTGCCCTTTTCCCACCCCAGCAGATCCCGGCACCGGCAGGGCTAGGAGCTGCCAGCTGCCATCACCGTCCTCCAGAGCCATGCTCCATGACAGATCCGCTTCCCCCTGCTGCTGCGCCCGGCTCCTGGGCGCTCCCAAGCCCCGCAGCGGGGTGCTGGGGCCATGGCACAGCCCCGGCTTCCTCCGTGCTCCCATTCAGGGCTTGGCTGGTGGAGCAGTGCAGCCCGAGGCATTACACTCGTGCTGGGAGGGCTGGGTGAGCGCCGCCGAACGCCTCCTGCTGCAGCTCTCTGCCACCGCTTTGTCTGAACGTCTCTGCCGTGTCTGGCAGCACCGCAGCCAGCTCCAGGAGAGCCATCGGGCTTCCCCCTTGTGCCCTGTCACCGCATCGTGATTGCAGTGACAAAGGGCCCTGGGCTCAGTCCCAGCACGCTGCAGGCTCTGCTTGCTGAGCTGGGCTACCCGCAAACTGCAGCTTGAGGGTTTGTTCAAGGGCCTTTGAAACCCACAAGAAACGACCTGGAGTGCTCCCAAGGACAGCAATGTACCAAGTCCAGCTGCTGCCTCTGTACCTGGCCTGTCCCCAGGTTATGCTCTGTGCTGCTTCTGCCAGGCCAGTATGAAGCCTTCCATCCCTGATTTCTAAGTCCAGCTGTGCCCCTCTGTTACAAGGCCTCTGGGGCCAACAGGTTCTTCTCAGTAGTACTGCAGCTTGGTGGGACTTTTCTTCTTCTACTTCTCTGGCTGGGTACCCAGGGCTGGATGCCCAGGGTGATGCTCACCCTGGTGAGCTGGGGACACCAGCCACAGAGACCTCGCTTGCTGTTTTCTCAGCAAGAAACTGCCAGCTTTGGTAGCTCCCCAGTCCTCAGATGTGGACAAGGGGTCTCTTGTCCTGGAGCCTGACTCTGGCAGGGAATGGTGGTGCCCGTAGCAGGGACACTGCAGCCATCACATCCTGTGCTGCTGCTCTGGGGCTATGAGAGTCAGCAGCTCTTGGGTTGCTCTCAGGCAGACCAGCCCTCTGCAGAGAGCAATCCTGGCTCTCTGGGCCTTTGGTCTGTTCCAGGTGGGTGACTCCTGTGTTTTGAACAAGGCAGGGGAAGAAAACTGAAAGTCCAAGTGAGCAAAGCAGCCAGACTGAGCCAGGACACGTCAGAGCTGCCTCTGTCAACACCGTTGCTGAGGCAAGCAGGCAGGCAGGTCCTTAATTATTGATGGTACTTATAAATAAATGCTGGGGCAGGGAGAGGAAGGTTACAGAGGAGCAGCTGCTGGGAGGAGGAGGGAACCTGAGAGCTCACTTGCTTTAAAGGTCATTCAGTTTGGCATCTCTTGCCCCTTTCTCTGTAAAACTTGGTGATGTTGGATTCAATGGATTATCTTCCTTGTGTGTCTTCTTGCTTCTGCCTAACCCAGCCAGATGAGAGGACGAGGAGGAAGAAGAGGGAGGAAAGACATCTGCAAGAGGGGGCAGTGAGGGAAAGAAAGGGGAGGAAAGGAAATACCATCAGAAATGTGGGACAAACAGACAAACGAGGAGACAACAAAAATAGTAGAGCAGCAAATCCCAACCCAAGTGTAAATAATTCTTCACCATGTGAAAAGAAGGTCTATGTAGGCTCAGATTCATCTTCCCCTTCCTGGGGCTTAAGCCCAGGAAGCGCATGAAATGAGGCTGGACAAGGACTAGAAGGGGACATAACGATCTTGACTGGGGACTGGAATAGTAACCCAGTGTCTGTGTAGTCTCAGGCACTTGGGGTGGAGCATCCCAGGAAGACCGGACTATCTGATGGCAATAGCTCTGGGATAGGGATCCCACAGCCAGCTGAAAACACAGGAAGGACTTAGAGGTTGACAGCCTCCATGGAAGTCTTAAGTGACTGTGGATGATGGGGCTTCACAACTTAGTCTGAAGCTCCCAAGCTTGCAGAAGTGATACACAGGCGTTGGGTGCAATATGGGTTCAAGCAAGATGGAGCTCCTTTCAGCCTCTTCAAGAGCACACTGCAGGACATGGTCTCCTTCCATCCCCTCTCCAGTCTCAAGGGAACCATTGCACGTGGTGGGCAGCAGCACCCCAATGTCCGGGGCTGGACATGGGTGTAGCTTTGCTCACCTTCCGCTGGGAGCCTGATCTGGTTGCATGAGGGCAGTGCGTAGTGAATGCCGCAGTGCGCAGTTGTCTGGATGGTGGATCTGGATGCAAGCCGGGTGATATGCTGATGTCCTGGGCCTCCTCCAGTAGGCTAAGCCCCAGAATGACATAAATCAATCAAAATTCATCCCTTGATTTCCCTCCAGTGGGCTGTGTGCAGCTCCGGAGGGTGGGCTGAGCAGCAGGGTGCTCCTGACAGCTGTAGGGCTGGTTGTGGAGCTGGTGGTGGGGAGGATGGAGAGGCAGTCCCCTTCTCCCAGCGCTGCTGCTCTCTGGAGTAGAGGTGCCTGTGCTGCAGCTGAGCAAATCGCGCCTCCCGGCAAGCGGCAGAAAACACAGCTGCAATCCAGGCTGACTGCAGGGAGCCGGCTGGTTGTGAAGGGCACGCAGCAGAGGAGAGCGAGCTGCGGGATCCCTCCTGAGTTGCCTCTGCTGCCTCCTCGGGCTGTCGGCTCTCCGCTGCAGACAGCGTTCTGCTGTGATGGAAACGTGGTCCAGCTCCAGCAACGCTTCCCGGGAGCCGGGAACCCAGGGACAGAGGGGGGATTGCAGTCATGGGCAGCTCCTGCCCTGCTCACATGCCCTAACGCTCCTCCTGTCCCTCAGCTGAACACCTCTAGTGCAGAGCCATCCCCTCCTTTCCCAGACAAGCTGCGGTGCAGAAGGTGAGGCACCACCAGCTCCAGGTGGCCCTGAGCTGCCCCCGCGGGATGGGATGTCCCATCTCACCAGGGGTGCTCTGGGTCTGCGGTTCGCTACTGCAGCCTTGTGTGCGCCGTGCATGGGTGCTGCATGGCCTGAGTGCCTGGCTGCTGTGGGAGAAGAGAGCAGTGTGTGGCTCAGCTCTGCTACCACCGCTAAGATCCCAGCACCTCTGCGGAACGAGTCCCGGGATGCAGCAGCCTGCCCCAGGCCTGGGTGGCAGGGGTGCCCAGGGAGAGCTGCGCTTCCCTGTGTGGCACCCTCTCACTCTGCAGCTCAGGCTATTGAGAGTGATGCTCCTGCAGCAAAGTGGGGTGAAGAAAGGCAAGCAAGTACTTGCTGCTCTCCTTTTGCTGAAGTCAGGTAGTTATTTGCGATTGGGGCTGGCAAGCCCTTGCATTGCACGTGCCCTTAAGGGACCTCGGGGTCCATCTGGACTTATGGAGGTGTTGCCAACCTGACAGCACCTGCTCACAGCAAAAATACCATTGTCTCTTAATGAGTTTCCCGCTTCCTGCCGTCCCTTCTGCGGGCGTGTGTTTGGAGTTGCCAATGTGTGCCCAGGGTACTACTCGCCCCTTGGGTCCTTGATGACTGTAAGAGAATGTAGGCTACTATTCTGGCCGGAGAACTATATTAAAACCCTGTGTTTCAGTCCCCAGACCCCTCCCAGCTGAGCGCTGCTTGACCTGCCTCTAAATACAGAGCATCCTGGGCAGAAATGTGGCAGCTACTGTGCTGTGGCACAGGGTGCTAATGCACTGTCCTTGTGTGGCAGGGAAAGGGGCGGACAGGATGTAAGTCTGTGCAATGGGGGGTTCATCAGAAGACCAGCAGGAAATGCTCTCTTCCAGGACCAGCGATAGCCTGGTATGGCCACAGCCCAAAACCCAGAATTGCTACTGCAATGACCCATTTACCAGGCTGGAGGGATATGGGCACCACGGGTGCCTCCACAGAACTACTCTTTTGTAGGACAGCATCCTTTTCCACCTCCAATTACAGAGCAGGTTTAGTGCTGCTGAGCTCATGAGATCGAGTCAGATCATGATTTGGTTATGCAGTGACCTCGTAAATCCTTGCAGGCTCAGAAAGAGGAAGGGAAATTCTGAATTCCGTGCCCAGAAAGGTCAAGAGCAGCAAATGAGAAGAAAGAAAATGAGCTCCAAGCTGAAGGCTCCCTCCAAGAATGCCCTGGCTGAGGCAGGAAATGAATAGCACCATCACAGCAGGCTGCAGCCCCTTAAGGGGCTGAGCAGAAGTCTAAAAGGGGTCAGTAGTTTTTGAACTAAAAATCAGGCCAGAGGGGGTTAATTTTGTGAGGCTACTGCTGGAGAGCTCAGGCTCTGCTTTTGTAGCATGGTGCAGGAGCTGCTTAACCCAGTATTCCTCTCCTCCTCCTCACACCTACTCTCCAATACCGAAATGAGACATCATCTCCTGTAGCAGCTATTAATATAGCAACACAAAAAGCACCCTGGGAAGGTGCTTTCCCAGTAAGCTAGAGCACCCCTGCACCTCCTCACACCTGGTACCACTGTGGCCCAAGTGAAACACAGGAGCTGTGCAACACCAGGAACTAATGCTGCTTTCAGGTGACAGCATGAACCATCCCCTGGGACTCCACAAACCCTACACGAGCCTCGTTCCAAGGCCGTGAAACACTGAGCTGGATGTTCCAACTCTCTCCTGTGTTCAGGTGCCTTGCAGACATGTTATGAGGACCTCTGCCTCCAGAAACAAACTTGAAAAAGCACTCAGCTGGCTCTGCTACAGCATACAGGAACAGAGGCAGATCTGGGGTGAGCAGGGGGATGGCTGAATTCTTGGCAGCAGAACCTTGGCCCACAGTCCCCTTTGCAGCAAGCCCTGCTTTAAGCTCCCTAGCTGGAAGCAGCATTTACTGAATGAAAGGCTGAAGGCCTATGCTCTTGCTGCAGCTGTCAGTGCTTTGGGGGAGCAGAGGAGGGCAGTGGGGAACACCACCGGCCCTTAAGGCCTCCCCATTCCTTCTGCCTCCGAGTGCTCACATTTATGTCTGACACTTATCCAAGTGCAAAATCAGCTCCTGGCACTTTGCAAAGATGAGTAGGAGCCACATGAAGCGTTAGGGACAACATACGAGACTGTGGGATGGACAGCCACTGACATAGGGAAGAAATCCCCTTGTTCTCTAATGATACCATCAAGTCCACGTATCTTTTTCCCCAGGCACACTGTTCACTTGAAGAGGAAGGGGAGAGGAGGCTTTGCTCACAGCAGCTATCCACCCTCTCCCCCTCAAAGAGACAGCTGAAAGTTGTAAGTCTCTCATTAGGAGACTGAGCCATTCTCCACTACATCCTCACTAATCCATATTTATGTGACAGCCATTTCCTGCTCCCCATCCATCAGCATCACTGTGCTTCCACCTCTCCTCCCCCTCTCCCCAAAAGCTTGCAGCTACTGCTGCCTCCACCTCCCTCCACAGTGCCAGGCAACCCTACCTGCTGGTGAAATCTATCCCTCTGAGGCTGCTGCTGCTGCTGCTCATGGGATGAAACCTGCTTGTATCACTATCCTGTTGCACTTTTGCCTCAGCTACAGTTTGTGATCTCTCTTCATTTAGGTCAATACCGCATGTAAAATAACGGTGCTTTGGCCAGGAGCTCAACATATCACTAACAATGAGTTGAGTTTGCTGGGTCTGCTGATGCTTGTGACAAACAACCATTTAGGAGAGAGACCTGCTCACCTCAAGACTAAGGAGCTAAGTGCTGCAGGGAGTTCCATGCTGCAACACAGCAATCCCATTCACACAGCTCACCACATCCGTGGTGGTTTTTAGGTAGGTGCTGGTAAGGAAGAAGCCAGAAGGCAGTGTGAGAAGGAGTTACAAGGGAATGGCAGGAAGAAACAAGGGTAAGAACATTCATCCAAAGCAAAGAGGTGGAGGCAGGGACGATTGGAAGGTGCAGCTAACAAGAAACATCAGGGGACTGGACACTCTCTACCCTTTAATGGCTTTAGGATAACACTGTGTCATCTGCCTATGCTCTCACAGAACATTTGTGCCGGTCTTGTGGCAAGAACCGCACTCTTCCAGGAGAACCAGGACCTGCTGTTGCAACCCATGCTTTCTCAGGCTCAACCCCCATACGCTCATGCTGACAACAGGCAGCATTGTTCTGTCAGTGGGATCAGGAGTGGGGTCTCTGCTGATCCTGGATGGTCAGAAATCAAGTTCTCCAATGCACTGGTTGCAGCAATGCTCAGCGTGGGAGCTGTTAAACCTTTCAGATCAGCAGGATATGTGTTCTGCATCAAGTGTCCACGTAGCTTGCAGCTGGGGTGCATACAGCTGTCCTGCCACCAAAGCATCACAGTTTACTCTGAGCAAACTTCAGTGCAGTAGTGAGGGCTCCCTGCATGCCCTTGGCATTTCCACTGCCCTTAGCGACAACGGGAGAGCCTCCTGCCTTCCCTTCCATCTGTGCACAGACAGCCACAGCCCAGTCAGCAGCAGAGAACACAGGGAGGCAATTCTGGGGAAAAGACACAGAACAAAGTCATTTAGACTGGTGAGCACTCTGCAATCTGGATAAAACAAGGTAACAACATCCTCTCCTCACCCAGCCTGGGCCCTCCCTAACTGAGGCAGTCATGACTGTGAGGACAGAAAAGGCTGAACTTATACGTTAATACTGTTTGCCCCTGGGGAATACATGTTTACCCCTGGGCAAACATGGCCTGGAACATCTAGAGATATCTGTGCCCAGCAGAGACTGAAAGCTTATCTGGTCCGAGTACAGTCATCTCATGTCCTCTCACTGTGTGATTACCCTCCAACACTGTGCAGAATCCCAAGAAAAGCCTCAATGGGGACCTGCTCAGTAGCAGGTCCAATCCCTCTTTGTGGGCAGGGTTATGCTTACCTTGGACACCTGACAGGCACAGAGCACCTCACCAGAAGCCTGAGGACTCAGCAGCAGGACTGATGTGCCAGGAGACTTGTCACACAGCTGGTTCACAACCTTCATGAGGATCTAGAAAAGGCAGGGAGTAGAGGGGTCAGGCTACAGCAAAGGTAACTGGCATGCAGCAGAAAATGTGCCCAGCAGGTCCCTCTTACTGCATGCAGCACCTGAGGCCAACAAGAATTACCCTTGTAAGAATTACAAGCGGATTACTCACAGAGAGGGAATCAGCTGGGACAGTATCAACGATGACAGGTTGGCTGCAATGTTTTGCTAGCAGGTTTTGTGCCTTCTCTTCCGCCTAGAAGAGGAAACAAACAGCACTTGAGGGGCTACAGGTGGCAGAGTGGGCTGGATGGGGATCTATGCATGCAACATATATATAAAGGGAATGGAAGTGCTGCTCTGTGGGATAGAGGGGACATGTATGTCAACACCAGTCAAAGTAGGACTGGCAGACTGAAATCTCCACATGGAGACCTGTACAACCCTCCTTCCTCAAAATCAAGCAGATATGAACCCCTTGCTCCTTCTTTAAGAAAACGATGTTTTTTGCTGAGAACACTAAGTGACCAATAAGCACTTCCAAAGGGCTTTTAATAATGCAATATCCATATGGCTGGGAGAAATGCTTTGTCCTGCACCCTCTTACTGTGTAACTTCATAAATCCCACTGTCAGGGCCATCTCATCTTCTTCATGTATAAACAAGGAGGCAACGCCTATCTGCCTGTTGGTGTTTGCTGAAAGTGCTGGTATGGGGCTCTCCATCCTCACAGGCAGACACACAGAGGGATTCTGCAGTGTCAAAAGCCCAGTCAGTCACTCACTGCATTTTAAATTATGACCCTGGTTAACGCTAGTGAAATCAACCTAACACAGGGCTTGTGTTGCACTTTGTGTGATTGTACCTGCTTTCTAATGGGATCCTAGTGACCAAGTGGCTGTGAAGTGTGACAGAGACACCAGCTCTGCTATCAGCAGGCTGCAGGTTAGTGTGCTGCTGCCACGGTACCTGCTTCATCTCCAGTTTCTTGACAGCTGTGTTAGCTGTTCGCTGCAGCACTTTAAGGATGGTCTCTAGTTCTTTTCTTTGCCACTGGGGCATTGCAGTCTCAGTCACCACCTGCAAGACAATTTGTTGTGTAAGGACACTAAACTGTACCTAGACATTATTTGCTAGTTCTCTGGGAAGTCAGGCTGGAGCCTGGCCTCTTCACAGACGCTCCTACACCCCTACGTGATCAGGCCCAGCAGTCACTGTGGTGTGTAGCTTTCTTTTCAGCTGGGCACCTAAAGCCCAGGAGCCCTCTTTCACTGCTTTACCCTCCCCACCATTGTCTTCTCTCACATTCCCTCTGGCAGCATGTCACCTGCAACAGAGACATCTAGACACTGGCAGAAATTTTTGTGATCAAAGAGGCAACAGCAGATAGCAACTTGCCCTTGCTATTGACCATGGTAAGATCTGAACCTGGAAGGAAAGAAGTCATGTGCCTCAAGTCTGTGTTGGCATCTTTCTGTAAAGAAATGTAATCCTTACTTTGGTCAACTGGCCCACTTCTTTGGAGAGGTTCTGCATCTCAGGAATAGAGGTGCTCCTCTGCTTCATTCGGAGAGAGAGAGAGTCCACTTCCATAGCCAAGCACTGGCCTACTTCCCGAGCCTGAGAGATGGAAAGAAAGAATGCGTCAAATGCAGCAACAGAAAGAATGAGCAGGGATGGAGAACGTGGGGAGGCAGCAGGGTCATAAGCACTGGAGTGCTCTCAGGATCTAGTGGGAAGACACCTACAGAGGCTTTAAGAACAAATGTCCTAAAAAGACTCTATTCAAAAGTTTCCCTCTAGACTTGCAACCGACACTAGACAGTCACACCTTGGGGGACAAGCTGTCATGCATTCCTGCTTCCTCAGTATCTCACAGCAAGTCATCAGGATTTCAATGATAAAAACTTGGCAGCCCTGTTTACTTCTCAGAGCTCATTTTTCATTATCAAAATTATTCATTATCATATTTCATTATCAAGAGCAATCTTGAAACTACTGACTAAAGAAACAAAAGAAACACTAAAGTGTTTTAAGTGTCATCAGCTGTTCAAGCGTATTTCCTGAGTTCAGCCGATCTTGGTGTATGTTTCTTATTGCTTTCCCCAATACCAATGCTACAATTAGTAATAACCTTCCTCCTCACACACACAAAAAAAACCCTCAAAAACTTAATACAAGCTTTTTTCACCAGTGACAATCCTTATGCTTTGGGGAGCATTTCCTCCCTTCCAGATTTCTGTGCCCATGATGGTCCTGTGAGACTTTAGACCAGGACAGCAGAAAGTATATAAGACAAGCTGTGGACAGCGAGAATTGCTGTGTCTAGCTTGGACACACGTCCCTTGTTTCAAATCACTCACTCTCTCTGATTACTCTCCCCTGTCTAACACATGCACCCAGCTTGTCTTGGGGTCTCTCCAGGTCAGGACATCCAGCAAAGCATGCAGATGTGCCCTGCAGCTTTTCATTCCTCTGCACTAAGAAAAGCCTTCCAAGGGTCACAGATGCAGAGGGGACAGCCAGCCAAAAAGCAACAGATTTGCAGGGGTGGGCTTTGCCTTTAGTCTTCCCAGTTCCAACGACAGTGAGTCACTCTTCCCTTCTGATTGTAGCCTTAAAGGAAGCAGGCAAACTCGTGGGGCCCCCTGACACTTCCAGATATTTAAAGGACAGTGTGATCTCAGAGACACAACAGCAGGTTTCTTACTTTTTTATAGAGACCAGAACCACATTTTGGAAAAAAAAAAAAAGACTGAAGAAAAGAAGCAAAAGGGCTGTATGAATGAGGTC